CCCCCCCCCCCAGGCTTACAACGAATTGGAAAAGTTTTCAGAGGCAATGGAGGACTGCCGGACTGCCTTGCAGTTGGAACAAACAAACGTCAAGGCATTAGCGCACCTTGGCAAGGCCCAGCAGGGACTGAAGGATTACGAGGCGGCTGTTACGACTTACCAAGAAATCCTCAAGATTGACGAGAAATACGAGAAAATGGTGGCAGGTGGGTCAGCAGTCTTCAGGCCAAATGCACAAAAACATGTGATGCGATCATGCTAAATGAGTCATTTGTCGGCCCTTATCAAATGTTGTGGTTTTTGAATAGAGCTATATTTCAGTTTATATTTGGTGAAAACCCCATGTGAATACGACCTTCCGTTCAGAAGTTATGGGACTTTGGAACACAGGCAGATTTGAAACAAGAAAACAGAGACTCAACAGAGAAATCAACGATTCAAAATTGAAGTGTTTATTACACAACAATAAACGTGCTTTATTTCAGGTTATTGACATAAACTCGTTACTCCTTAGCAAAAATGTCACGTTTTGAATACTTTATCGTTATATTTTCTGGGGAAAAAAAGTTGACATGAAAGAGGACATATGTAGCCTTCCGATTTTACAAAAAAGTCACTGAACTATTTTGGGCTGTATCTTAAAATCATAATTGCCGACAAACGACTCATTTAGTTTGATCGCATCACACATGTGAATGTGAACGCGAATCTGAAGCTAATTTGAAGTCATTCAGGACACGTATTCAAATGAGTTAAAATGTTTGCAGATCCACAGTGCATTTAATTTAAGTTGGAAAAAATCACTCGGGTGGGACTCGAACCCACGACTCCTGCTTTCTAGTGCAGATGTCTTACCACTCGACCACCGAGCTAACGGCATAGTTTATGCGGTACCCGCTGCTATGTTAATCAGATTCGAACCAGCCAACCGATCTCGTTAGCTCGGTGGTCGAGTGGTAAGACATCTGCACTAGAAAGCAGGAGGTTGTGGGTTCCAGTCCCACCCGAGTGATTTTTTCCAACTTTCACTCCGGAGGTAACACACTGAGTATACAGTGTTTAAATGTCAGTGAAGGGCAAAACCTAATTTGATTTATATCACCCCGTCGCAAAAATTCCATCTTATATAATAGATATTGTAATTCTTGCTTCTGATGTATAGATACCCACGAATAAGTGGAGCCAGCATAGGAAACACCGGCACGATCAGCGGTAGCCAGAGCCCTGTCATTGTTGGTCCAAGTGCAGTTATTATCACTTACAACAAGCTGTCGGAGGAACGCGGTAAATATAATCTTGCTTGATGCAATGAAGTAGTTTGATATCTTAAATCAAGTGTTAATGTATTGGGGGGGGTGGGGCAGGGGGAGGGTGGTTTACGGTTTTAGAATATGTGTTGAACATAGTTCCATGACTTAGCTGTTGTAGTTCTCCAGATATATAGGACTTTAAAAATTTCAGATGACAATCGGGGCCCACCAAGTTTCAGTGATTTTGCCCTATCACGGCATATAGGCCTTGCTTCTGACCTGCAGGAGTCAAACATGGAGATTGTGTCCAGAAACTGTCTCCGAAAACGCGCAGACTTTGCAAGTGCAATGTATACAAATGTATACAATGTAATGTAAGTGACTTCCGACTGACGAGTTTGGTCGAGAAAATGCTTTGTAATTCAGCACGTGTGGGTCAAAATGAAATGTGCATATAAAGATCAAAGGAAATCCCCAGATGCCCACATTAACATGAATAACTTTCTGTTCAATGTTCACAATTCCTTTGTTATAACCAGCAAAGTTTGAAAGGAGATGGGGGGAAAAAATGGCTTCAAAAATAATTTCCGTTACTATATTCAAAGACAAATGCGTGTTAACTCATTTCATACGCAACTTACTTAGCCTACGTTTTACTGTAGAATCAAGTCTTCGATAAACAAATCTAAGTCTGGTCATGTTTGGTATTATTCAGCTTGCTTTGCCCTCTTTTAGGGGTTGGGTGGGGGGTGTGGTGTTGAGAAAGGTAGGTCGCTATGCATCCTTAAATATGCCCAGGAATTTACAGACAATGAGGACTAATAAGTGGGTCCACACCCTGAAAAAGAAACTGCTCGTGATAATACACGAGACTTGAAAGTGACCTTGCAACACTGCACAGTACATCATTATCAAACATTTTGCTTTCTGCTGTGTGATGTACCGCCAGCAGCAGTTCGTCCTTTCATCACCCGTTTGTGGCGTGATCAAAATTTCTGCGTGGACGTCATCATAGAGTAAATAGAGACTGGCTGTTGCGCGCAAGGTCAACCTTGTGCAGCTGGGTTGATCAATATAGTGAAATCTTGGCAAGTCAAACTTCAAAGGAACAGTTTCAAAATTTGACTTGGCAGAGTTTTGAGTTAAGCAGGGTTGTATATCATTGTTATACTAATGAAGGCAATGGATTCTTTGTTTGACTTAACAGTTGTTTTGAGTTATCAGAGTTTGACTGATTATTGAGATTTCACTGTTTTGTGATCTCAGGGATGCCAAATTAAAGGGCACATGTAATGTAATTTGTTTCAATGTAGTCCTTGAAAATGCACCTTTGTGTCCCATTTAACTATAAAATTCTTTTTGGCTATTTTCAGGGGTATTTTGGTGCCTTTTGTGTGTTTATGCTAATCCAAATTTCCATATTTTTTAGCAAAACTGGGATGTTGTTCTGGTCAGAAACCTCAATATTATAGTTATTTCAGCATGACAAATTGCTAGAATTTTTTGATATTTTACAGTTGTAAATTTTCTTTGGCTTTGTTGTGTCAGTAAATGGCAGTATAAGCCAATGAGCAAACCTTTCTCAATTTTTTGTATTGACCAATTGACCAAATAATGGGGGCCTGATTCGAACAGAAAACCTTTTCAGTAGAAAAATGTCCAAAAATGGACGTGCAAATTGTTTGTTTTTGATGAATTGCAGCTTGAGAGAATTTTTATGAATCGAATGTTATGTATACTTAATAAACAGTTTACTCTTACTTATTCTATGATTTTTTAGAAATCACCGGATTCCAGGGGCCGGGTACAGCAGATAACCTGCAGAAGGAACTAGATTTCGAAAACAAATTCCGTGATTGGTTGAAGCAGATTGGAGAAGGCAATGTTCTTGCGATGGAATACCTGCTGAGATTTTATTGCAGTAGATCCATGCAGGCTGCTGGTCTCACTCTGGATCACATACGAGAGATGCAAGGTGACGAGGAGGAACTGCAGAGATTTGCTCGGTTACTGTTGTGGGAGTCCAGTTCAGAAGAGTTGGCTACCAAACTAGTCAGACCAACTAGGGTAAACTGCAAGAATAACGAAGACCTGAAATCACTGAGCTACTACTTACAGCATGTCACTCCGCCACTTGAAGGTACACATTTTTACTTGGATGTAAGAAAGCAGGAGCTTACCCTTCTCAGGGGAATTCTTCTGAGTGACAGCATGGAGTCAGCTGGGCTGATATATGTTGACTACCACTTGTCTGAGCAGGAGGAGGAGGGGCTTAGCCTCCTTGAGGAAACACTTGGTGTGGTGGATGAACAGGACCGTGCTCAATTAGGCATTGTGGTTAAGACAAAGTCATGGTTTGATGTGGGGCGTGTATCACACAGCTTTTTCCGCATGCAGAAACAAATAGGCAAACTTAGTGTGGATATAGACCAACGATCACCGGATGAGGTTGTCAATCTATTGAAGGCACTGGAAGGGTGCAGGTTGGATTGGCTCACAATGTATGGCACCAACCTGCATGCACGGGTGGGAGATGTTAGCCACATCTCGTCATCCCTTACAATCTTGCACCTCAGTGCATGCAGGTTGGTCGATGATGACGTGAAGGACCTGATCAGCATCCTTCCTGCTGGGCATGGTTTAGAATCGCTTAGCCTTAGTGACAATGCATTCAGTTTGGATGTAGTGAGGGCTCTCACTCATCATCTCCGAGGTCTCCCTAAGTTACATTTGTTGTGGCTTTGTAACATCAGCCTCCCTCCTGAGCTCGTCGGGCAAGTTGTCAGTCAAGACCTCCCTCACCTGAAGGAAATAGAAGAAGGAGAATTCGAAGCCTAAATATTCTCCCACCAAGTCATAACTCTCACCTTGGTCCCTATGAATGCACCACGCACGAGCTGCATTAAATTGAAACAAGTAGCACGTATCATGGGTCATTTTATGTGAAGTCAATGCTCTGCAACCTTCTCCCCCCCCCCCCAAAAAAAAGAATCACTTAAAAAACAACAACAACAACAATCAATAACAACAACAACTTTATTTTCAGAGGACAATAAGGGGCTCGATAATGAATGAAAAAGTCAACAAAACAGTTTCAATACAAATAGATGTTTTCGGAATCCTCTTACATTATGAATACAAATATACCAAGCATAGTTCTTCATTCTACTGAACCTCCATCCCCCAAAAATTCAATCCATCAGTTAATCAATCAATCAGTGTGAAAAGTCAATCAACAATTCCTGTACAAAATGATTCATTGAAATCTTCAAACATAATAGCACTGTACTAAGCATTCTGGGTGTCACTTGAAAGTGATATTAAATTGACCTTGTATCTTGGGTGACCTCTGAGTACTATTATAAATCTACAATCTAATCGTCAATTAAACAGGAGAATCCACCTCTCCTTTCCATTTCTTTTGAGAAAATTATCTTGTATCGCATCATCTTAGGTAAAAGATGTGTGAGATGTCTTCAACTTTTGTGACAAAGGCCTCCTCCTACCCTGTTTATCCGATCAATGTAGTAATATGGCATTCAAACAACTAATTTGACCACACGCAAATGGCTGCATGACACCCTTCCATAGACCAGTGCTGTGCAAAACTTAGTATAGAGAATAATACTCCAAACCTCGGGTACTTTTGAATTGTTTTGCGTTTGCCTTATGTACAAATTCGGAAAATTCTCACAACTTCATTCCTTTCAAACAGACTTTTCTTTTGAGTGTTTGTGCTTCATTCTTTATCAAATAGTTTGTGTAAATTAATGTAAATTACGCGTACAATGGCAAAAATTATGATTCCAGTTTGCTAACTTTGTATAGATCTTTAACCTTTACTTTTTATGTAATATACCTTTAAAGTGGTCCAGTTGTGTAAGGACAGTATAACATGGATTTTGTTTACTATTCAACTACATGTGTAGGCCTATGTCCATATTGAGAATTACTAAACCAGTGTTCATACTGTCAAACAATTCATGTATAATATATACATGTAGAATGTTGCATTGCCAAATGATGCATTTTTGTCAGAGGACAGTCATGTTTGCTCATTCAGGACCAATCGTTGCAATTGTTGTATACGCGCACATGTTTCTGTGTTTCTGATTATGTTGGAATAGGTACAAGTCGAACAATTTGCTTGTTTTTATCATTGCAAGCCTCTTCAAAGTATTGGTCGACACTAGATTTGTTTATTCCAAGTATGATCAATATTCTGTACAAAAACTGACATTTTTGTTTCTAACAGTTTTGATTTTTTGCAGTTGCCTAGGTGATAGCAGTGGTTTATAACATGCCCAAATGCAACCGTTCATTTTGGTGATAGTAGTTCTGCAGGAGAGAAAAGGTATACTTTGAAACAACGTTTTGATATAACGAAATGTAAACTAATGTAAATAATGTCTAACTGTTGTTGCTGGCATGACATATGAAAGAATATTTGATTAAAATGAGATTTACACATTGTAACTTCAAAGCCGAACTGATTGCAATTTTAAATTAATTTACACATTTAAAGGGATGGATGGGATCATTTGTAATTATCCCAATAGTAACCTACCGAATTGTAGTAAAAAAGCTCACTTGGATTAAAGATCGCACTGGTACTAAACACCCTGTGAAATTATTCCATCTGGCTTGCTGTCATTAAGCAGAAATCAAGAAATGTAGGTGATTTCCAATGATCAGTCAATTGACTGGTGTTCGGATATAAAGGAGTTCTATGGACAAAATCGCTTTTATTGATGAAAAGTTTGTGCATGGATATTTCACTCTTTTCTTGAAAAGTGTAATATCCAAAGCCTCAACATTTTGAGTAATCTTCTGTGGAACAGTGATGATATTACTTGTATTGGAAACAAACAAAACACATGAAATACAAATGTTCCTGTATGCCTTTAAGCCATGGTTTACAAACTACATGTGATTTTTATCTTGTGATCATTAATGTGCAACTCTGTAAGATAAGGTCATCACTCGGGTACGAACTCCAAGTCAAGATAATCTGCTGACTTCTTGAAAGTTTGGTTTCTGTTTCACGTTTACTAAAATGGAGCGAAATAAAACCTTCACTCTTTATGTAGAACATTGTCATAGTTCCTGACGCTTCTTCAACCAGTGACTGTGCTCCCGTTACACAAACACTGGTTATTGAAATGTCCTTAGTTACTGTGCTTCTGTTTTTCCCAAACGTTATTTCGTTATTATCAAATAGACATTGAAAGTTGACCTGGATCTTTTCGTGCAACTTAAGTTACATGTTGTAATAAAAATAAACCACAAAGGAGAACTGTCTTGGTGCATTATAATACATGTGTAACTTGAAAGTTGAACAAAGACATTGACTGGAGCTGGTTTGACCTGGTGACCTCTGGATTCCTGTTCCGATACGGTAATCTGGAATGGTAATCCTGCTACAGTCAATTTCCTTGTTTAATTTTTAAATAAAAAATAAAAATCTGATATTTGCACCGTTTGGCGGAAGTAAGTTGATTTGGCTTTGATATGGTTAACTGTGAAAGAAATTTTTGTTGAAATTTGTGTGTTATTTGTATTATTTGTTATTGGTGCAGAAACATTTCTGATCTCTTCTTTTCCTTTGTTCCAGAATTTGGGGGAAAGTTTAAGACGTCAGGGATTATTATTTGACATTGTGTACTTTGTATGATTATTATCGTGTAATAAATCATTCCATGCAATGACTTAAGTCAATCAAGGAGAAATCTTTGAGGTTAGATGATTGTTGTGTTACGCCTCCATTCCTCCCTCAGTGATGGACCAATCTCCCGCCTCTGAATTCTACAGCTGGGTCACCACTTGGGTTTTGTAATCAGGCATGCAGGCTTCATAATGAGGATGTCAAAAGAAATTCCTTAAAAAATATATCAACCCAATCACAAATTTACTTCATGCAATTAAAAAAATGATTACACAGCTAAATCGCTGATGGATCCAGAAGCATTTATTGTTGGGGGATCAAGAAAGGGGTCACCGACAGGCCAGTTGTTGCCAATTCCTTATGTGGAGGGGCGGGGCTAGATTGCATTTTATGGGAGGGGTGCAGTGTTTCCTTTCTTTTCTTTCTTTGTATTATAAAGTGGCAACGGGGATGAATAGACTACAATTTCGCATTAAAACAGTCGTCTTCACTTGTTCCCCGGTGGATTTATCTTAGAAGGCATTTCTGGTGGCCCCACTTCGGTCTGCAAGAAGACAGCTTCTTTGATTAATAAGACAACTTCAAATAAGTTGAATTAATCATTGTTTGATTACATTGTTTTGTTGTGGACCTGTTGTGTTTTGCTGTTGTGGGCTTAGCGACACCAAAGGTGACTCTTACATTTGAAAACAAACAACAACTTTAAATATTTTTCTGGCACCCAATGAACACAAAAACAAATTGAACTGATAAACTATTTATATACTTGATTGTTTTGCTACTCTTCACTCGGATTTGTTCTATAGACTGTGATTGCAGATACGCGCGTTTTTCCCGGCCTCAGTGTTGACAAATACAGTATTTACGGAGAGAACAACATATTTGTTGCCTAAATATTCTGTGTGCTTTTCGCATTTGTCATGAACAATCTGCTTGCTGAATTTGTATTCAATGCATCAGATAATTCAGGAGTTGGCGTGTCCATTAGTTTTGTGTCGATGTCGTTTCTGTACAATATCGGCAAAGTGTGCTGTAGACCGTGATTGCAGATACGCGCGTTTTCCCGGTGTTGACAAAAATAATATTTACGGAGAGAACAACAATTTGTTGTCTAAATGTTCTGTGTGTTTGTTCTATTTGTCATGACCAATCTGCTGGCTGAAATTGAATTCAATGCATCAGATAATTCAGGAGTTAGCGTTACGGTCCATTATGGTCGTTTCTGTACAATGGCAAGGACAAAATCCCGGTGGTTGTGAAGCGCGGACGACTTTGAAATAAAATTTTAGCCGGCAAAATTATAAGTGTAAATGTCCTTTATATTAATTAGGATTGGTTTTTGGCGCTGACACCACTCTACTGCTCTAAGTGTATTAAATATAGTGTCTGATGTTGCCTGTTGAGATTTAATGCCCTTGTGACACAAGTCTATTAACATTTGAGGGAAGCTGTCTATGGTTAAAAAAAAATAGTGTGTTCATGAGAAACCGTCTAAACATACAAATAATATGACCGAAACAATAGCGTTGAATATATATGCGAAAAATACAATCCAATTCAGTTTTCATGGAACATAAGCAACACAATCCTCTTGAATTTGAAAACTAAGAAATTAAGGGCATAGGCCTTACCCCATATATTTGCACATTTTTTGTCAACATTTCTGTTGAAAAAGGGCGCGCCTGACAAAATAGTAGTCTCTCGCACACGAAGACAAATTCATTATATGTGCCAAACGGTTTACTTTAATTTTCTTTCAACCCGCCCCCCCCCCCCCCCCCCCCCACCCCCAGAGCGAGAAGGGCGCCATCGGAACGTAAGATTTCTACGTCCAACTAGAGAGGGCGCTTGTCAACTTGGTCGATTAGTAAACAAAAGTTGCGGAAAGTTGAAACTCCTGAAGTTCAGCAAGAAAGGGAACGTTTGGGGAAAGAACGTTGCAACCTGACGCCACATTTTCTTCATATATCATCTCAATAAAGGTCAGTCATTGCAAAAAATGTTATAAAAAGACATGAATCTGGGACTGAGGATCATTTCCAATTTGGTTAGAAAATACTTTGAAAATCTTCTTGACTTTCCATAGACTTTGTACACAAACGCTGAATAGGCCTACTGCATTCTTGGCGATCGTGTAGTGTAGGTCCCTGTTCCTATAAGGGAACAAAATCCACTTTTAAATTATTGGACGTACCAAACTAGTTTTGGCGACATTTTCAATAAACAGGTATGTCATAGATAAAGGGCAGGGTTTTGATTTTCTGAGAGAAATTCGGGGGTAAAATGACGATGACAGCGTGATGCGACAACACGTGGCCCGAAAATAAAGATGGCGATCACCGCTCGATGAACCGTGAGTGGGCACGCACGACATGCTGAATCGCAAGGCACAAACCGCGCAGTAAAATTGTGATTTCTCACCAAAGGATCTGTTCAAAATTGCAAAACGGGTGTCATTAGAATTGAGGAAAGTCTGCTTTTGATTGTAAAGGTGATTTTTGAACAATAAAAAAAATTTGATTCTAATTTGATCAAAACAAAACAGGGGCCCTACACTTCGTGATCGCCGCATTCTTTCCGCTCGATATGCCCGAGTAACTTGGTGCCCAACTCATCGCCTTTTTATATTTTGTACTACTAGTCTCGGTAATCGTTATCTGTAGGACCCAAGGTTAAAGAACTCACCAAAACAGCTGACTTAATGACACTAAAAAGTGACATACATGTAGGGGCCTACACTAGGGTGGGCAGCATTTTTGTTTTTTTTTTGTCCAAACACAGTCGTTTTCCTAGCTGAAGTTACCCAGCCCTAAATTTTATCATTGGGTTGTCATTTAGGGCTGGAGGAAGTTTTTCACTTCGAAAATGTGCAATTTTGTTCCCCTAAACACACTTATTTCAACTGGGTCTTACCCACTTCACCACTTCACAGGTCTTTGAAGAAAAAAATGATCCACGATGAAGATTCAGCCTACAAAAGTACAATTGCAGTTGCAGTGAAAAAAGGAGGCATAACCGACAGCCGTGCGGTCATGATGATGCCCGGTGCTAGATATGTGCACCAACAAACTGCAAAGCGCTGTCGATTACCATGCACACACAGCGAACCACCAGTCACACTTGCCAACTGCATGGCGCCAGTCAGTGGCCGTGTCGCACACGCACACAGCCCTGTTGGACCTCAGTTTCTTGTCCCGAGGTCGTGCATGCGTGGCCCAAAAGCGTACGCGAGGTTTTACAAGATTTATGCGAGACTAAAGAAAACACAAAAAGTGCCTGGATACATGTACTGTTTGGCCAAGATATGGCTAAATATGTGAAAAGTTCAAATCGTGTGCTTTATTTTGATACCAAAAATAACTGCTTTTGCCAAATATAAAGTGTTGTCAGGGCCTGTCGAACAAAATCATATTTTTTTATCAACAAACATGACAAAAGCGAGGGCCGATAGTTTTTAAGTGTACATTAGATTCTTCAAAACGGCCAAAGATTCATAGATAGAGGAAGGTATACGCTTCATTTTCATGTGAAACACTTGCAGGAGACTTCTAATGTTTGGTCCAAATCACCGGTTAAAAAAAATGAAGACCGTTGCGAGATTTCATGATTTGCAATCACATGTACGCGTGTAAACGAAAGTAAGTACGCTGATGTACGTTGGCTTGAAAACATTGCGAATAGCACGTGCGAACGTGCAATGAATGACTTATGAATATTAAGCAGGCCATACTCGAACTCGACCAATCAGTTGGCTTATGGGGTCACAAGGTCACACCGTGTTTGGGTTCCTCGCTCTATGCTTTACAATGGCGACGATATTTCGCATTGTGAAAAATGGAAGTTGTTGGAAACATTAGGTGTACATCAAATTCTTAAAATATTGACGACATCACGTTCACGAGATTTTTTGTAGATGAAGGTTCATTCTTTCCTTTGACAACACTTGGGAGACTTTCGTCGTCGTTGACAAAACCGAAAATTTCATGACCTAATTTTTAGTTGATTTGTCCGTGAAATAATACCGTCAAAATGCATAGAAATCCTTTTTTTGAGAAAAAAAATACCTTGATGGATGTAGGCCTATGAAGTAGGTCTTTAACTACTGAAAACAACTTTGTTTGTTTGGATGGGTTGTGGTTTGCCATGAAAATCACGAATTTTCGGAAGCCTTTTTTACGGCCATCTTTTGCTGGCCTCGCGTTGCTGTCAGTTGTGTGGACGAGAAAATAGAGCAGCTACGTGTGACACAGCAACTGACTGGGCGCGGCGCGGCATGGCGCTGAAGCGCGCACCGGATGCCTGTTTGATGCACCACTGCTGCACTAACTATGAGTCTTCACTTGCATCACGGCAGAGGTAGAACGGCAGCCGAAGTTGGCCGACAAACAGTCGTCGGGTGCGCGCTTTAGCGCGCAGTTGGCAAGTGTGGCAAGTGCAGTTGGCAAGTGTGACTGGTGGTTAAAGTATTTTAAGCATTTTTGCACTCCTTAAATTGTGTTTCTTCATCAGATTTGGTACTTTTCAGGTCATGGCCCAGTATGGAACTCTTTCCTAAAAGATTTGAATCTGGGACAGAGAATCGCGTTTCCAACGTGGTTAGAAAATACTTTGAAAATCTTCTTGACTTTCCATTGACTTTGAACACAAATGCTGAATGCTGCATTCTTTCCGTCCGACATGCCAGAGTAACTTGGTGCCCAACTTCGCCTTTTTATTTTTAGTACCGGTACATGTACTAGGCCTAGTACATGTAGTAGGCCTAGTCTCGGTAATCGTTATCTTTAGGAACCCGTTCCTATATAAGGTTAAAGGCAGAAAGGACTCATCAAAACAGCTGACTAAATGACACTCAATACGTAAATCACTTTTTTTTTCAATCATTCAAGGGAGGACACCTTCTTGAATATTTTGTTTATTATATTGTGGAAAGTGGGCATGTCTTCGATTTATGAGGGAAATTATGGGGTAAAAGAGTCATTTGAAAAGACGACAACGACAACCAGAAAACAGGCTCGAATTTATGGCGACAGTGAAAACTTGATGCAATGAAGGCTTGATGCTGATCATGCTGATTGGCTTATAAAAAAAATATCATCAGCCAATCAGCATCAGGCTTTCATTCTGTCTGGCTTGCGTCTCTGATTGCCAAAAAAAAGATAGGAAAGTAACATTTTCTTTGAAAGTGCGTTTCAAAATTACAACAAACATGAGTTAATCTGAAGACAAAAGACTGGCCCGCAAAAGTTGTTTTGGTACTGAACAGTTACGCAAAAGTCAGTTTTGAACGGAACGGAACCGGTAAAAAATAGAGGTGTTCTGAAGATAACGATTACCCAAGTCTCAGTAAACAGTGTAAGCCCCATCGGAGTTACATGTACCACTGCGTGTGTGCACATCACATGACAACAATGGTCTGTGGATAAACAAAGCAGAAAGACTTCCATACCCCACCTGGACATCACTTGCCACCCTGTGCACAAACCCTATTATGAGACTGGTCAGAAAAGTTCCAAGTGTTTTCTCAGTAAATACTACAATATTTTCCCTGCAAAATTTGGCTTTTTAGGACATGTTATCGGAAAAATTAGTGATGTCCATACATGTATATTTATGGAATTCTTTCCTTAAAGTGCACAAAAGTTGGAGCATACACATGATCAATACAAAACGTGCCATTAACCATTCAACATTTTGAATCAAAAATCTACTTCAAAACAAGAACACTTTCTTTGATTTCGTTGGTACCCTGCTACGATTTTGCATGCATGTGGCAAACTGTTCATCCACAGACCCTTATCGCTGTCATGTGATGTGATGTGCGCACATGCAGTTGTACGAAGGACATTAACTATGAGGTCAGTGAGCCAGACGCTGCTGTAACGATAGCAATTGCCACAGCAGTAGCCTCTGCATTATTTTTAACATTTGGACATAATCTGGCGATAGTACTTACATGGCGTTTCAAACAATTGTTAAAACAACCCAACCATTTTCCAACAAAAACATCAGATTTCACCCTCAAAACGGCCGCAGAATTACTTTATGCCACCTGAGATACAATTACAGATTTATGATTTGAAGATCATGATACTAAGCTTTACTTACAATCTGGATGAAAAGTGAAATTTACCGTTTATCAGCGAGGGCTCCGTTTGGAATATCGCGTGGATTCCATTTTCAAAATTGTCCTCCTTTCTTTTCCAATTTTAGTAAAGTATGGCGACAGGCGTCCAACATAACCTGATGAAGCAGGCACAGTGCTTTTGGTCAATGCTGGATGAGCTTGCAGAGACCGATGAAGATGCATACAGGAAGTTCATGGCCACAAACCTCCAAAGAGGACAGCAAGAATTGACACCGGCCAAGCCATGGATGTGTGTCAAGACCCGTATCATGGTAGGTTCACATAGGCCGAAAATATGTGTGTGTTTATGGTAACATCCTAACAATTATCCAGGTTGGTAGGCGAGTCAATTATTTTTGTTTTGAACTTTCTTTTTTTATGTTTGTCTGTCAGTCTGTTATACTTTGACTTTGTTTATTCTAGGGTACATTGTACCTTCACCACAGACACACAATCAAGGTATCATTGGAAAGAGGACACATTGGCGTTTCACATGATCTTGAACTTATTTCAAAATATTTATTAGTTTTTTATAATTTACATTTACATCTGGGTTTCCTTTTTTGATACACCCTGTATTGAGCAGAGCAACACAACAGCATTCAAGTTTTAACTGCCAATTCTGAGACAATGGGAGTTTGTCCTATCCAATAATGCATACTGTGGTGACTAGCAAGCTCAGACTCTCAGGCCGTTGGATTGATTTGGTTAGACTGACATGTAGCAGGCGTGGCACATTGACAAGCACCTGTTGTGTGTTGTTTAATTGAGCAATTGAGGAAGGTGTTAGCCAAAGTACTGGAACTGGTGAAAAAGGTTAAGGTGTTACCCCAAGAATTGACTAATATCCCATGTCTGGTTTTGCCGTACTGAATAACCCAGTACTGTACAGCCAAGCCACTACTTCAATAGACTTCATGCTGAGCGGCCATCTTAGAGGACAATGCAAATGTACTGCTTGGATAGGCATGACAACTAGACCTCTTTATGTGGCCAATCTGCCTGTACACCATTCAACAACATCTGTAGGCCTCTGTAGGTTTTGTTTTTTAAAATGTACTTTTTTTGTTTAGGAAGAATTGACTCTTCTAGTCACAGACAATACGAGTTACGTCTGCCACTACCAGAGACAATACAAGAAGACCATTCCACAGCCAATTCAGCAGACAACGTCATCACTCACTGTTGCCATGCCAACCAGGATGGTAAGTTAATACTTTCACAGTTTTTTTTATATCTGAATGCTGCAGATGAAGTTGCACAGCCTCGGGCAGGTTGGATCAAGGACCAATGGTTAACTAGTGGTTGGTTTGTGACGTACCTAGCGCATGTGCAGTGGAGATAATGCACCAATAACGAGTCTAGTTGGATCAAGGACCAATGGTTAACTAGTGGTTGGTTCGTGACGTACCTAGCGCATGCGCAGTGAAGATAATGCACCAATAACGAGTCTAGTTGGATCAAGGACCAATGGTTAACTACACATGTAGTGGTTGGTTCGTGACGTACCTAGCGCATGCACAGTGAAGATAATGTACCAATAACGAGTCTAGTTGGATCAAGGACCAATAGTTAACTAGTGGTTGGTTTGTGACGTACCTAGTGCATGCGCAGTGAAGATAATGCACCTGTAGTAATTCGTGTTTTCTCCCGAAATGAGTTCTACTACTGTTTATCAAGCCTCGTGTCTGTTCTTACAAGTCGTGAAAAACGGCACACAAAATGTTGGTTGTTTACAAGTTTTAATGCTCTCAAAACTCACAAGTTCGTCATGCACCTGCTATCCAATGATTAACAAACTTCTGGAAAGTCAGTAGGTTTAAGCACACATCTATTGACTGAATAAAACTTGGTTGAGGAAACTTTCAACGTTGGAATAAGACTTGCACAAAGCAGAATGAAAACGATAAGTAAAAGGTCACAGCGAGAGTGAACTCCGGTGCCTATGGCAACCAAAACTTATTAACATACTTATTTGTATGGAACGCCTGTTGGAGCTAAAAGTACAAACAATTAATTATATACACATGTACATGTCACTACACACCAATAACGAGTCTAGTTGGATCAAGGACTTAACTAGTGGTTGGTTCTTGACGTACCTAGCGCATGCACAGTGAAGATAATGCACCAATAACGAGTCTAGTTGGATCAAGGACCAATGGTTAACTAGTGGTTGGTTCTTGACGTACCTAGCGCATGCACAGTGAAGATAATGCACCAATAACGAGTCTAGTTGGATCAAGGACCAATGGTTAACTAGTGGTTGGTTCGTGACGTACCTAGCGCATGCGCAGTGAAGATAATGCACCAATAACGAGTCTAGTTGGATCAAGGACCAATGGTTAACTAGTGGCAATGGTTCTTGACGTACCTAGCGCATGCACAGTGAAGATAATGCACCAATAACGAGTCTAGTTGGATCAAGGACCAATGGTTAACTAGTGGTTGGTTCTTGACGTACCTAGCGCATGCACAGTGAAGATAATGCACCAATAACGAGTCTAGTTGGATCAAGGACCAATGGTTAACTAGTGGTTGGTTCATCACGTACCTAGCGCATGCACAGTGAAGATAATGTACCAATAACGAGTCTAGTTGGATCAAGGACCAATGGTTAACTAGTGGTTGGTCCGTGACGTACCTAGCGCATGCGCAGTGAAGATGATGTACCAATAACGAGTCTAGTTGGATCAAGGACCAATAGTTAACTAGTGGTTGGTTCGTGACGTACCTAGCGCATGCGCAGTGAAGATAATGTTCCAATAACGAGTCTAGTTGGATCAAGGACCAATAGTTAACTAGTGGTTGGTTCGTGACGTACCTAGCGCATGCGCAGTGAAGATAATGTTCCAATAACGAGTCTAGTTGGGTCAAGGACCAATGGTTAACTAGTGGTTGGTTCGTGACGTACCTAGCGCATGCACAGTGAAGATAACGTACCAATAACGAGTCTAGTTGGATCAAGGACCAATGGTTAATTAGTGGTTGGTTTGTGACGTACCTAGCGCATGCGCAGTGAAGATGATGTACCAATAACTAGTCAAGTTGGATCAAGGACCAATGGTTAACTACTGGTTGGTTCGTGACATATCTAGCGCATGCGCAGTGAAGATAATGTACCAATAACGAGTCTAGTTGGATCAAGGACCAATGGTTACATGTAACTAGTGGCAATTGGTTCGTGATGTACCTAGCGCATGCGCAGTGAAGATAATGTACCGACGAGTCTAGTTGAACTATAGTCATGTCAAACCGATATTTTTGCGGATATTTTTTTTTTCCTCTCCCCAAGCCTTAATGACTTTGTAGCCTAAAGTCTTGCACATCTTTTGATACCAAATTCATAAAATTCCAAACAAGGGTTACTGCGCAGCGCCACTTTTTTTGGCGCTGCTTTTTGACGCTGCGCACAGCAAAAATGGAATTTCCCCACGTATTACACATTTAAAGCAGTATTGTCATTGGTACATGTGGGGTAAAACATTAGGCAATAATTCTAAAACTCTTTGCTATATTGTAATACATTTTTTTGGGTATATTCATATTGAGCTGATCTATGTATGTGCCAGATTTCATAAATTTCATAGCAAATACACTTTTTGGGCTCCATCTTCTCATGCAGTGGCATCCTTCTAGACAAAGCTGCTCCCTGGAGAGATCCTCCAAAAGATATACCGTTTTTCTGGCAATAAATGTATGGTTAGCGGATAGGCTGTGAGTGATATGAATGCTACACTACCCTATTTTGCCTTTAAATGGACTAGGAACTTATCCCAAGGCTGCCCTGGAAATGCTTCACCTTAATTAAGTATTTCTTTATGGAAGTATTTCCAAAATAAACTGGTTATTAAAGTTGTAGTTTTTAGGCTTCATGCAGCGAGGCTAGTGCACTTTTTCAAAGAGTGTCCAGGTATAATTTGAAGTGTTTTGTTTGTTTACTTTCGTCTGGCTGGTTCAAAGTATGATTTGTAGGGATTTGTTTGTTATGTGTGTTTATTTGGGTTTGGCTGATATCACTGCAAATCGATGGTTCAAATGTCGTTGCTGAGTAGTTTTTGGCACGCTATCACTATGGTGTCTTGGATTTTGGAAACGTTATAACCTTGAAATACTCCTTGTAGCTGTTTCAACTTGAGGTGCTGGCCTTGCACTACATGTATAATGTCCTCAATTGTTGTAGTTTTGAGGCTTCATGCGGCTAGGCTAGTGCGCTTTTTGAAGAGTGTCCATGGATAATTTGAAGTGTTTTGTTTGTTTACTTTCCTCTGGCTGCTTCAAAGTATGATTTGTAGGAATTTGTTTGTTATGTGTGTTTATCTCATAGGGGCTGATATTAGTTCGTATAGATTACAGACTACAGACAACGGTGGCCTATAAAGAGATGCAGGATGATTGACAATGCAGACGGTTCAAATGTCATTGCTGAGTGGTTATTGGCACGCAATGGGGTCTTGCATCTTGGATACGTTGAAGGGCCCATGCAATGTAATTTTTTTTAATGCACTTCTTGAAAATGCACTTTTGTGTCCCATTTTAACCTTATTTTCATTTTGCTGTTTTCAAGGGTATTTTGGTGCCTTTTTTGCTTTTGTGAGAATGTGAATCTCCATATTCATTAGCAAAAGTGTGATGTCATATTAGGCAGAAACCTCAATATTGCAATTGCTTTGTGGCACAAAAAGTTGCCAGAATTTTGTATATTTTGCTGTCGTAAACTTTTTTTTCTTTAGTGATTTGTTGTTTAACATGGCATTGCTGAGTGGTTTTGGCTTGCAATGGTGCCTTGGATCTTGAATGCGTTCACTTCCAAAATCCAAATACTCCTTGAAGAACTTGTAGCTGTTTTCACTTGAGGTGTTGGCCTTGCACTGAGTAAATGTATAATGTTCTCCATTGTACGGTGGCCCTGGAACGACATTTTAATATTGACCATTTTAATATGAACCTTGTAACTTCTTAATATTGACGTTGTACCTTCGCAATATGCACGTTACACGGAGCTTAATATCGCATTGTGGAAGTTGTTCCTTCTTAATGTGAATGTTCCAACTTGTTAATGTTCACGTTCGATCTTGTCAATGTACACCATTGATCATGCTTGATGTCAAATTTAGTTGCACCTTGCTTCTTCGCAATATGAACCATGTACCTTCGCATTGTGAACGTTTGACCTTGCATCTTGTTAATATCATTGTTGAACCGTCCTCCTTCGCAATGTGAATCATGCATTCTAAAAAGTATGAAGTCCTTGTCAAGCCCTATAGTTAAACAACAAGTTATGATGGAGTTTCAATCTGACAGCTGTTCAATGTCACTTAACCCGGGCGTCTACCTTGTAGTGATTTTTATCATGAATCAAGGCTCTCTGATTTATTTCACATATCTTTTATAATTCATGTTCAGGCTAATGAGCGCTGTTTCACTAGAAAAGATGTGTTCAATTCATGAGACTAATTAATTTATTGACGGTTTACTCTTCGTCAATTACAATAATGCAAAACAGTGTTGTGTGATCACGTTAAGAAGGCTTTTATCATAATACTTTACATCCTTCAAGCCCTATTCAGATTTTTTTTGTGTTTTTAATCATAGTTACGAGAGATTTCCGTCGAGATCCACATATTTAATTAGTATAAGAGTATGATCTAAAGATGTAATTAAAAGGAACATCATTTATATGCGGTGGTACCGTTACAAAATAATAGCCACGTCTTATAAAGCATGACAACAAGAGTAAGGGCATACATTGATATTTATTACTTCGGGGAAATATCGGGGATTTAAACAACGGTCCCATTTCCGTCAATCATTGTAAAAGCGCGCGGGGCACAGGTGGCTTCGGTCAATTATTTAAGTTTTTATTCAGTGCATACACCCGCAACATACTCGAGCTTGTACTCGAGCCTTGTAAGGGCTAGACGTTTTTATGGCTGATTGCGCGATTACCCGCTGCAGCAATATAACCCGCCACCGCGAGAGAGCGCCGCATCACGACCGCACCGTTACGTTGAGCACGAATCACGTGTTGCCGGGGCACCCTATACGAAGTTGTTGGCTTGGAGTTCATGCATACATGACTGGTCGTCAGCCAATTGTGAATATTCTTCATGTTGCGGTCAGGCGCGGATATCCGGGGGGGGGGGGGGGGGGGGGGGGGAGGTATGTAGGGTTCGACTTAGCAGTAGCCCGAAAACCAAATGCTCGT